GGGGGGGCCTGTCCGTGCTGCTGCGCTGCCTCGGGGGGCCCCCTCGGCTCCGGCCGCAGCTCCGGGGGGAGCGGGAGCTGGCGCTGGCCATGGCACAGTGTGAGTGGCCCCGGGTCCCCTCTGCTTCCGGCTCTGGGGAGTGCTGGATCTCGTCCCCCTGCCCGCTCCCCGTGGACACGGCTCCGGGCAGGATCCCCACAGCCCCTCCTGCCCCTCAGTCCCTACATGGATGGGATGGGATGGGATGGGAATCCCCCGGTCCTTCAGCATGGTCGTGTCTCCCCATCCCATGGGGTCCCACACAGGGAAACCCAGGGACTGTGGATTTGGGGGCTGAGGGGCTGTTTTAGGGCACCAAGGGGTTTTTAAGGTGCCAATTGGTATTTTTTAGGTGCTGGGGGGGCATTTTTAAGGGGGCTGTGGTTGGGTGTTGGGCACCAAAGGGCAGTTTTTGGGCACAGTGGGATTTCTTAGGGTGTCAGGGGGTGTTTTTTGGGCACCAGGGGATGTTTTTAGCTGCCACAGGGTGTTGTTTGGGTGCCAAGATGCATCTTTTGGGTACCGAGGGCTGGATTTTGGGTAGCCATGGGGTGTTTTTTTGGAGCAAAGGGTCGTCTCTTGGGGAGCTGTGGGGATTTTCAAGGTGCCATGGGGTGATTTTGGGCTCTGGGGTGGGTTTTTGGAGGATGTGCTGTTGTTTGAGGCACTGAGGGGCGTTTTGGGGGCAGCGGGGGATGTTTTTGGGGTGCTGAGGGCTGGTTTTGGGTGCCGGGGGGTGTTTTTTAGATCCCAGGGGTGTTTTTAGCCATGTGGGGCATTCCCTCCCCCCCGGGGTGTCCCTCCCTCCCCCCTGCCAGGTGCCCTGGATGACTCCGAGCGGGTGCACATGCGGATCCTCCAGACCATCTACCGGCAGCTGACGCGCTCCCGCCGGGGCTGCCCCCGCTATGGGACACACTGGGAGGAGCTGGGATTCCAGGGTAGGACTGGCAACGAGCTCTGGCCATTCCCAAACTCCACCTGAACCTCCCCTGGAGCAGCTCTGTCCTATCCCAGCTCCCTCAGCCACTCACTGTGCTCCAGCCCCATCTCCACTGCCCTCCCTGGACACGCTCCAGCACCTCAGTGTCCTTTTTGGACCCCAAAATTCATCCCAGGATTTGAGCCTCACCCCAATCCTCACACTCCTCTCCATATGTCTACAAAATTCCCAAGGATGCCCTCAATCCCTTTATCCATAGATACTAAATCAAAGTGGCCCCAGTACAACTGGACTGCTTGTCCAGGTCATCCCAGTACTATGTGCCTAAAAAAGCTAGTAATTCCTGGAAAAGTGTGGGAACAGGAGTGTATCAGGGGGAGCAGGGTTGGTTAATGCCCAAGTGAGTGAGGTGGTGGCCCCATTAGAGACATTCCCTGGAAGCTTTCCCTCCAAAAAGGGAATCCCCAGGACTCCTGTACCCTGGAAGTGCAGTGACGGAATAAACAACCCATGGAATGGGAAGGTGACAGGGAGTGACTCCATGCTGTCCCTGCCCCCCCCAGGTGTGGATCCTGGGACCGACCTGCGTGGGACAGGAATGCTGGGGCTGATGCAGATCCTGTTCTTCGTCCTGGACTCCCGAACACTCTTGCTGGCCAGGGAGATCTTCCAGCTCTCCCAGCATGAAACCCAGGCATGGCCTTCCCCCTCCTCCCTGTGGGGGGATCTCCCTTGGAGTTCCCAGTGCTCTGAGAAAGGGAAGAACAAGAACCTCTCCAGGGATTTTTTTGGGATGCTGAACCCCCTCGGGCTGGTGAGGGGAGGAAGGCGGTGCCCAAGGAGCCCAGATCCAGGCTGGAGCTGAGCTCCAGGTACTGGATTTGTGCTGGGAATGGGATTTTAAAGATTTGATCCTGGCTTAGAGTGGGATAAAAGGGCTGGAGAGTTGGGCAGCAGGAAAATGGAAGTGAGTGGAGCCTGTCTCCTTAAATTCCACATTTTAGTCCAGGTTTAAGCTGATCCAGGCTTGAATGGATGCTGGCTCACACATCAGCATCCATCCGAGCCTGGATCCATAGAGGTGTTATCCCAGTACATGGGTCTGTCACCCATCCTGTGGGTTTGGGGCCGCACAGATGTGGTGTCAAAGGGTTGGAGGTGCCAGAGGGGAGGAGGGTTTTCCATCTGAGCTGCAATAACACTGGAATTCTGGTTCTCTTCCAGAATTTTCCCTTCTGCATCATGTCTGTGAACATCACCCGGATCGTCATCCAGGCACTGCGGGAGGAGCGGCTCTCCCGGTGAGGGGGGGCTGCTCTGGGCTCTCAAACCGCATCCAGGGCCCTTCCCGGGGTGTGGCCAAACCCCTCTCCCCATTTTCCAGGGAATGCAACCGCCGGCAGCAGGTCATTGGGGTGCTGAACGACCTCTACGCCGCTGCCTTCCTACGGCTCTTTCGCCTCTGGAAGCGGCAGTGCGGGACTGTTGCCGACGCTGGGTCCTTCCTCAAGGGTTTGTCTTCTCCGCTTTTCCTTCTCCTTATTTTCCCTGGAAAACAACCCCAGGACAACCTGAAGACCCCCCGCTGTGTTCTTAGCGCATCCGAGCCCAGTTCCAAGGGCTATAATGGCCAAGAAACCCAAACACTCCCCATTTAATCCTCACACTGAGGTTTTCCACAATATTTCCCTATCCCAGTGCTCCAAGGGGTTTTTCCTCTCCCCCATTTTCCATTCCAGAGGGATGCTGTGCCAGGGTGGCTTGGGGTGGGTGACATGGGGACGTTCCCTTCTCCCCAGGCTCACACAGAGCCATAGCTTAACCCCAGTCCATGAGTTATTTATTCCAGAGGGGATTGGTGTCCACAGAGCTAATGGATCCCCCGGAAATGGGGATCCAGCTGGCACTGCTGAGTTCCGGCTTTGTCCCATCTTCCCTGGATTCCAGTCCTGGGGGGTGTCAGGCTGGTGCTGAGCTGGGGGTGGAGAGGAGCTTCCCATGCTCCCTCATCCAAAGGAAAACATGATTACACCCTTTCCAAGGGAAAACATTGGGATGCTGGGTCTGTTGGGCATCTGACACCATCCAGTGTGTGTTGAGGTGTTCCCCTCAACCTTTTTCCCCTCTGACTCTTCCAGAGCTGGAATTATCCACCAAAAAGAAGCCAAGGCAGTTGCTGAGGTCCCTGGAAGCCTATGTGAGCCACAGCCTTCGGCCTTCCTCCCCTCCCTCCTCTTCCTCCCAGATCCACTTCACTGGCATCTGTGACCCTGTGGTCGAGCTGGAGGGAGATTCCCGACTCATCTGACGTGGAGCAGGATGCTGCACAGGGAATTCTGCTGGTGAATCAGCCTTTGGAGGGGGACACACCAGTGTCCCCCCTGGTTTAGGGGCTCAGGAAGGGCCAGGAGAGGTCACAGAGCCAGGATTCACCTGCTCCAGATGGAAATCTCTGGAAGTGAAGGAGGAAAAGGCAGTGGAAGGGGGGAGATTCCATGAACCCCCCAGCCTGGCACTGGGATGGTCCCTCCATCCATCCCAAGTGCAGGGTCCCCGCTGTCCTTACCCTCCCCAGGTGGAGCTGGGGGTGGTGCCAGGCTCCTGGATCCCATCCTGGCTCCAGCAGCACCCGGGGGGAGGGTAACCCCCCCCTTTGGGCTGTAGAGGCTTCACTCGGGGCTGGGGGGGAGCAGGACCGAGGGGACGGTGTGGCCTCCCCCAGCTGGGGACCCCCAGGGTCACCATGGCATGTCAGCACCCAAAAAAGTTACTAAAGGAGGGGAAATGAGTGTTTTGGTGGAAAAGAGTTTTGGATTTGGGTTTGCTGCTGGATTCTGTGGGATCCAGAGGGGGATGGTGAAGCAGGAGTGCCCGGAGCCTGATTTGGAGTGAAATAGGGGTGAAAAAGGTGCTGTAAAGGAGAGAAATGAGGGTTGAGAGCTGCAGGGAGGAGTGTTATCCCCTCTGGGAGCAGTTCTGTGCCAGTGCTTGGGAATGTCCCCAAACCCCTCAAAATGGGGAAAATTCCCCAAAGCCCAAGTCTGGAGAGAAATGAGGGCTTTGGGGGAGAGAAGTGGGGGCTGGTGGGAGAATGGAGCATCACGGCCCCCAGGCCCCCCAAAGGACAACGGTTCCTGGGGGCTGGGAATGCTGCTGGATGGAAAAACATCCAATAAATGGGCAAAAAGGAGCCCAGAATTAGGGATTTGCCTTCCTGATTCTGAATTATTGTGGGAATTGGGATGGAGGGGAACCCTTTAGGGGTGTTTTGGGGCAGGGGTGAGGTGAGGCTCAGACCTGGGCTCGGTGAGGCTGTGGGGGGAAGGCAGGTAGTGGGGGGAGGGATGGGGGTGCCAGGAAGGGGTGTGGGGGGAAATGTAGGTGGGATGCAGGGACCAGGAAGAGATGTGGCTGCTGGGAAGGGGCGTGGGTACCAGAGGGGAATGCAGGTACTGTGGAAGGGATGTGGGTGCTGGGGGAGGATGTGGTTGCTAGGGAGGGTTGCAGGTACTGGGAAGGGATGCAGGAGCAGGGGGTTGGGGGTGGGATGCAGGTACCAGGGAGGGATGTGGGTATCGGGGGATGTAGATACCAGGAAAGGGTCCCAATTCCCCGGGAGGTTGCAGGTGCTGGGGGGCAGGAGCAGAGCCTGGAGCGGGACCTACCGGGGCTGATCCCCATCTGTCCTCTGGTGCCACCCAGTTCGGCTCCAGGGCCAGGGCTCAGCACCCCCAACCCACCCCTCACTCCTAAAACCCCGGAGACCGGAGACAACAGGATTGGCAGTGACAGGGACACTGGGACAGACACCGACACTGGGACAGCAGTGACAGGGACACTGGAATGGGGACGAGGACCTGCACCAACAGCAACAGCAGAGTCAGGAGTGACAGTGACACCGACAATGGCACTGGCACTGACAGTGGCAGCAGCACCGGGATGGGCAGTGCCAGGGACCCCGGGATGGGCACCAGCAGCAGCAGGAACGGGCTGTGAGGTAGGGGCTGGGCAGCAGGAGTGCAGGCGGAGGTGTAGGCAGGGTACAGGCAGGGCATGGGCAGCACAAAGGACTGCGGGCAGGAGTACGGGCTGTAGGGCAGCACCAGTAGGGCCCAGCGTGCAGGGGGCTGCAGGCAGGGACCACAGGCAGGGCCATCAGGCAGCATGTCGAGGGTCCCCCTCCTCCACTGCCCCACGCCCCTGTCCCCCTGCACCTCAGGCCACCCCCTAATGCTGCCCCATGCCCCCAGAACCAGCAGGTCCATGGAGGGCCCCAGGGGCAAGTACTCGGTCCAAGTCACAGCTGCCATTGGTGCCACTGTCACCACCCTCATCCTCATCACCATCCTTGTCCTTGTCACCATCCCCATGCTGGTGGTCCTGGTCGTGCTGTGGGTGCCCCGAAACCACCTTGGTGGCCACTGTCATTTTCCTCTTCTCCTCAGGCAACGTGGTTCTGGGCTGCTGGTCCTTTGGGAGGACATGGTGTGAGGGGGCCCTGGCCTTGGATGGGCTCTTCTGCATGGACCCCCTGGCCTCCAGGGACTCCCCGGCCACCGCAGACCCGAGGCCTCCATGAACCCTGCAGACCCCCTCATCACTATGGACTCCCAGTCTGGGGGGATCTGAAGCCCCATGACGTGATGAAGGAGTGATTTCTAGGGTATCAGCCAACCCCACATATTACAAGTAGCTCTACAGGGGAGCAAACAAGGACAATTGTCCTCAGGAACCCTCCCGAGGTGAGCGGGGACCCTGATGTGCCGACTGGACCATCCCCCAGGGAAGTCTGTGCTTCCCTGGGGCCTGGGTAAGGAACATTCCTGGGAAACTCTCTGGTCTGGTCTGTCTGTCTGACTGTCCCCCTGTCATGGTTTGAGATAGCCCCAAAAATCCAATCCCTAGCTCCATCCCCCCTCCCACATCTCAACCTAATGTGAGATGGGTTTTTCCAGACAAAACACAACCAGACTCAGAATGGGGGAAAGGGAATATATTACAATGACTGTACAAATAAATACTATAACACATTATACACACGATCTCTACCATGGCATACAGTATTTACAATGGATCAGATCTCTTCTCCCCTCCAAATAAAAGTCCAGGAGGGAAAAAAGGACAGATCCCTTCCAGTCTCTCAGGGCAGCAGCTTCTTCTAAGGCAGCAGGTTCTCCTCATCTCATGCATGCAGCAGTAACTGGATTGTTGTAGCTGGATCTCTGTTCAATACACACAAGGGGGTCTCCAAGCCCCTCGGCTCTCCTTCGGTCCAAGCAAAGGCCTCACCTGTGGGCTGCCAGCAGGGACCAGACTCGCGTCACCACAGGTATATCACGAAATGCAGGGGCATCTTCGTGAAAGTCCCTTCCTCAGGGGATTCAAATTCCCCTTTGCAGAGCTCCGTGCTCTGTCTCAAGGCTGCTAGCTTAGCAGCAGCAGCGAGGGGGGCCAAGGTCAAACCCCCCCCACATTCCTCTCC